GGTTTTACCATCGGCCAGAAACATACTTACAATTCACCAGTCGACAGCTTTCCTTGTGAGGCTAAAAGGAAATATTCTAAGAGTACTTTTCTGCTTTCCTTAAAAATGCAAATTGCCCTCTTCCTTTCCTATCCTTAGGCCAAGTCTTCATTCATTCAGAACAACTGGGGCTTAAACTCTGCTTAACGAATACACTCCCCAAGACTTAGTGCTTTGCTTGTGAGGATATCAAGACCAAGAATGTGATGGAATTTAGAGGAAGGAAACATTGAGAAACAGCTGTTGACCAAATGAGCAAGGGCAGTGATGATACATGAACAGTGATGATGGTATTACTTTGTATTTAGAAAGCATCATCTTCAAAAAGGCTCACGGTACTGTACAGATACGTGTATGTTGTCTTTTATCCTTAGTGATTGAAAAAAATTAGGCCCATTCTTATTAATGCATACTTCCATACCTATCCACATATATATTTTGGCTGTTTCCATTTGCCTTGTCTTTAAGTGCAATCAACTCCTTCATTGAGCAGTATCTGGAAACTGCGTTGACTTTCTTCAATTGTACGGGGTCCTGTTTTCTGTATCCTCTTCACCGTTGGGCACTAGCTTCTTCCTTCTTTTGCTATGCTGGTAGCTTCGTGTTTTCCTCATCTGAATGCATGCTGGCATGTTCACTTGCTTTTTTCATCATCAGAACTTGCCTATAAATTCTGTCCTGCAATTCCACACATCACCATCAAACTTTACCCTCCTGCTATCATAACTTACGTAATTCTCTTCTTCACGTGATCATTTTCATGAAACGCGTCCCATTTGCCCAGCTACGTAATTATTTTTTAAAACTTCTTGACAATGGGGCTACGTCCACCAGATGTTCCTGATTTTTCTCTCCATTCAATGTAACGTAACTTAAGCCAGGTCTTTTCTCCCACCTTCCTGAACTTCATAGGCCAACCGTCCCACCAGAAGTTTGTGTTGCTTGCCCACAGGTAGCTCTGTCGATCCTCTTTGGATGTCTCCTTCAATGCTCCTTCTTTACATAGCAGAAATCGTTCTCTGCCAACTCATTTTTTTTTCCAACTCATTTTACTCTAGAGTGATTTTATCTGATGAATATTAGTTGGAACCAAAGATCTTAGAAACTTAAGGGGGGACCCAATTTTGTATCTATCCCTCTGCCTTCAGGAAGGAACATCTTGTTCTCACTGGACAGGCAGTACGACCAATCGAAGCCCAAAGAAGTGATGTGTCCCAGGTAACAGCCCTGTTTAGTAAGGAAGCAGGAGCTGGACGCCAGCCCCCCAGCTGGGGCACAGCGGGAGACCGGGGTGGCAGTTGGCACCACAGAAGGGAAGACTCTGAGTGAGCAAACTTAGCAATGGGTACTCATACAGGGAAGTCATTGGTGTGTGGACTCCAATCTAGAACACTTAAGGAATATCTGGAAAGACCATTGCAAAGCTATGTAGCAATGAGAATTATGGAAGAATGGGATTGTGTTCAGAGACTAATGTTCACGTCTTCTAATGCTGATTAAAAACCACCCAAAATGGACTTCCCTGGTGGCGCAGTGGTTAAGAATCCGCCTGCCAATGTAGGGACATGGGTTTGATCCCTGGTCCGGTAAGATCCTACATGCCACAGAGAAACTAAGCCCGCGAGCCACAACTGCTGAGCCTGCGCTCTAGAGCCCGTGCACCACAACTACCGAGCCTGTGTGCCACAACTACTGAAGCCTGAGCACCTAGAGCCCATGTTCTGCAACAAGAGAACACTGCAATGAGAAGCCCACGCGCTGCAACTAGAGAAAGCCTGTGCAGAGCAACGAACACCCAATGCAGCCAAAATAAATTAAAAAAAAAAAAAAAAAAAAAAAACACCCAAAACTTAGGGCCTTAAAACACCTATATTTTGCTCACAAATCTGCAATCTGGGCAGTGCTCTGCAGGAATAGCTTGTCTCTGCTCTCTTAGGGTCAGCTGGGGTCGCTCAAAGTCTAAGAGCTAGAACCGTCTGAAGGCTCCTTCGACTCAGACATCTGAAGGACAGAACAGCTGGGGTTCCTTGGGCATGGCTCTCCATCTCTAAGTGACCTTTCCACGTGGACCTTCTGTGGCAGCAGCAGGACAGCCAGACATCTTACCTGTCAGCTCACAGCTCCCAAGGGATGCAGCTCAAGAAAGACAGTGGGTGGAAGCTGCACCACCTTTCATGACTCAGCTCCGGAAGCCGTTCAGCATCACTTCTGCCATGTTCTCTTGGTCCAGGCAGTTACAAAGATCTTTCCAGATTGAAGAGGAGAGATCACAACTAGCAATCCCATTCCTGGGGATATATCCAGACAAAACTCTAATTCAAAAAGATACATATACCCCTGTGTTCATAGCAGCACTATTTACAATAGCCAGGACATGGAAACAACCCAAGTGCCCACCAACAAACGAATGGATAAAGAAGATGTGGTATATATATACAATGGAATACTACTCAGCCATAAAAAAAGAATGAAATAATGCCATTTGAAGCAACATGGATGGACCTAGAGATGATCATACTGAGTGAAGTGAGTCAGACAGAGAAAAACAAAACCATATGATATCACTTATGTGGAATCTAAAATATGACACAAATGAACTTCTCTATGAAACAGAAACAGACTCAGACAGGATTCAGAGTTTGGGATTAGCAGATACAAACTATTACAGAGAGAACGGATAAACAACAGGTCCTACCAGATAACACAGGAAACTATATTCAGTATCCTGGGATAAATCATAATGGAAAAGAATATGAAAAAGAATGTGTATGTATATATGTGTATATATATATATAACTTAATCACTTTTCTGTACAGCAGAAATGAACACAATTGTAAACCAACTATACTTCAACAAAATAAGATTTTTTTAAAAAGGGGAGATCACAAACTCCACCTCTTGATGGAGAGGTGTGAACAGAAGAGTTCAGGATAAGACTGATGTCAGAGCAGCTCTCTTGGGAAAACACAACTTGCCACAACTAAAAACCACTGGGTCACCAACCACTGCAACACAGAATTGAAATGGACCTGGAAAAGGCCATCATCTATCATGAACAAAACTCGTTCTGCAAGCACAGCTCAAAGGGCCCTTCCCTTGGAATACCTCTTTGCTGTCCCCCAGTTTCCTCAGCCCTTTGTAAATATGCCCACTCTCTCACTCAGTATATTTTATTGTAATTAGTTTTATAACACGATTGTAATCAGGCAGGTACTACCCAATCCGTCAATTAGCCGGACTTCTTTTTTCTAATCACATCACAAAGAATCTTCAGACTGGTGGGGAAGAGACACTTCTAGGGGAGCCAGAAGCAACTTTGCACAGAAAACAAAGGAGAGCGGAAAGAAAAGCATCAGCAATTCAGAGATGAAAAACTATAATCACACAAAGAAAAAATATATATATATATCTTTGCCCTACAGTAAAGGCAGAAGGCATAAACTGTAAATGTCAAAATAACCTAGAGAGCAGCTGGGATGGAAGCATTGCCTAAAGCAATGGTTCTCCAAGCTCACCTGCCTCAGAATCACGTGATGAACCTGTTGACCATCTCCCCACTCCTCCCCCGGCCCCCGCTAGTTCCCGATTCCGCAGGTCGCGGACTGGCCTGAGAACTTGCATTTTTCTCGGGTCCCAGCCAATTTGTTGCTGGTGGTCTGGAACCGCGTTTTAAGAACCACTTGCCTAAAGGCTTTTAGAGCTGGGAGTAGTGGCCACAGGTGCAGCCCCTGCAGATATACGGTAACCAGAAGGGCCACAAGGGAAGTGGGTGGAGAAGACGACCCAAGAGGTGGAAGCGGCCTGATTTAACACAGCCCACCTCTCTGTCGGCCCGGCTACCGGCCAGAGCACACGCTGACGGCTGCAACCGGTGGCGGGAAGGCCCAGGCCGCCGGAGCCCCCAGCCGCGGTGACCAAGCGCCTCCTGCCGACGGTACTTGGGAGGTGTCATTCGGCACCGCACACCCAAGCCGGGACGAGGTGGGCGGGGCCCAACTCGGGCCCGCCTCCATCCAGGAAGTGGCCCAGAGAGCGAGCCACGGGGACGTAATTCCCGCCCCCAGGGTGGGCGGGGCCTTCTGACCGTGATTGGCCAGCCCCGTCCGTGCGCAGTGACGTTGAGTCCGGACGGGAAGTGTCCAAGAGGAGCGCGGGAGCTGAGAAGTGGAGGGTTTGCTGCGTCCCGGAAAGGCCTCACGCGGACCGTTCTAAGGCCGGTGCTCCTCGGGCTGCTTCCCGCGAGAGTCCGGCCCTCGCCACCCGCCAACCCGGGGTACCTTCGCAGCCTTCCCAGGCCTGGGTGAGCGTCCGATTGGGACCGCTGGGAGTGCGCGCGCGCCTGGGGGGAGGCGGTGACCCTGTGCTCGTGGCCCCGGGAGGCGAGCGGGAGGAATGTGTTCTCGGTGTCCCGAAGGCTCCGGGGACGCGCCCTCGTCCCCACCACCCGCCTTCCTAAGCCCTTTGGGTCACTGACCGGACAGATGTTGCTGGGCCTTGTGGCTCCAGGAAACGGGCATGGATTGGTTCTCCCAGCAATTTTATTTGCCTGCTCTTAGTGAAGAGCCGTGCTGAGTGCAGGGGCTGCACAGGTCACTGTGTCCCCAGTCCTTAGAGGTGCCAGGATTCATATTAGAGCTGAAGTGAACGCAGCCCCCGAGGAGAGGACCTCCTCCTGGAAGGCAAACAGATAATTACTGCAGGGTGTGGTAGGTGCTCAATTCAGGGTGCACGTGGAAGCCCTTGTAAGGAGTGATCGCTTTGAGAAATTGATCCCTGACCTAAGATTTGAAGGAAGAGGTGAAGAATTACAAAACCAAAACCTATGAATTCCCTATAGCCACTGCCAGTGAGCCTCTACAACGGCAGTAAACCTTTCCCTTTTCCAGGTACGTAGTTGCGTATTCTTGAAAAGAAATGGAACACACAGCATAGTATGGGTTCTTTTATTTATTAGGTTCCTGGTTTCAGAGAAGATGACAGAGGAACTGGATCTCTTGGGACAGGACTCTGATGCGGGGAGTGAGGAGGTGGTCCTGACCCCTGCAGAGCTCATTGACAGGCTGGAACAGGTAAGCAGCCCAAACAGAATCCCCCTGCTCCAAGCTCAGCCTTTTTATTTAGTCCAGCTTTGCAAATGTTAGAAATCAGGAAATGAGATGGAACCCTAGGCTTATTTCAAGAGAAGAGAGACCGCATCTTACCATCTACACAGAAAAAGGAAGTAGGGGGACAGCCGGATAGAAAACTCATAATGGCAGACACAAAATTCTCAAGTGGGGCCAGAGAGGGTCAGCTTTGGGGACATTTACGAGAACAGCTCACAGAGCAAAGGATCTGCTTGGTATTTGTGGGGACCGCAGAAGTGCTTGGTAGAGACTTGTAAGGTCTAGAAAGTGCTGAAACGCCTTCTTTAGGAGAAAACTGGTCTTTTAAATTTTTTTAAGTTTATTTATTTTTATTTTGGGCTGCATTGGGTCTTTGTTGCTGTGTACGGGCTTTCTCTAGTTGTGGCGTGAGGGCTTCTCATTGCAGTGGCTTCTCTTGTTGTGGAGCACGGGCTCTAAGCGCGCGGGCTTCAGTAGTTGTGGCATGCGGGCTCTAGAGCGCAGGCTCAGTAGTTGTGGTACACGGGCATAGTTGCTCCGTGGCATGTGGGATCCTCCTGGACCAGGGCTTGAACCCGTGTCCCCTGCATTGGCAGGCAGGTTCTTAACCACTGTGCCACCGGGGAAGCCCGAGAAAACTGGTCTTATTCTTCCTTTTCCTCCAAATACTTCCTTTTGTCCACCCTTCTGTATGTTTCCACTGCTTACCTCAAACCACTTCTGGGCTGTTTCTCCTTTTAGTCATAATCGCTGTGGCTTATTGAGTATTTCCTGTGTGCCAGGGCTCTTCACAATTGTTGTCTGAGGAGACCTTGATAGTTTTGGAGTTCAGACTACCTGTGTTTCAATCCCTGCATGTCACTCGTTTTTTTTTTTTTAATTTTTAAATTTTTAAAAAAAAACCTTTTGGCTGCGGTGGGTCTTCATTGCTGCACGTGGGCTTTCTCTAGTTGTGGCGAGTGGCGGCTACACTTTGTTGTGGTGTGCGGGCTTCTCATTGAGGTGGCTTCTCTTATTGCGGAGCACAGGCTCTAGGCGCGCGGCTTTCAGTAGTTGCAGCACGCAGGCTCATTAGCTGTGGCACGTGGGCTTCGGTAGTTGTGGCACACGGGCTTAGTTGCTCTGCGGCATGTGGGATCTTCCCGGACCAGGGCTCGAACCCGTGTCCCCTGCATTGGCAGGCGGATTCTTCACCACTGCGCCACCAGGGAAGCCCCCACTCGTCTGTTTTACAACTCGGGCAGGTTGTATAGCTTGTCTCTAGTACTTCTTTAACTGCCAGTGGAGGTAACAATAGTGACTGCCTCACAGAGCTGTTGTGAGGATGAAATGGGTATTATGTGTGAAGAGCTCAGAGTGTTGTCTGACGTGTGCTGAGCGCTCACTGAATGTTAGGTGCGAGTGGTCATAATCAGTACAACACCACCCTGAGGCAAGCACTGTTGTCATCTCCATTTTACAGATGAGGAAACTGAAGCTTAGAGGTTAGAGGTGTAAAGTAACTTGCCAAGGTCACACAAGGACAGCAGAGCCAGGATGTGAACCAGGTCTCTTTGATTTACTACACCTGCTGCCTTATTCTTCTCCCTCTCACCGCCCCTTTCCAGAGCTCTCTCATGTTTGTTACTTTAGGATTCTTCATTCTTTCCTACCATTACATGCCATCGTGAGTGATAAAACCCAAGGAAGTTCATTTAAAAATTATGTCTCAGACCTTTTTAAGAATCTGGTGAAAACTCTGGCCCTCCCTCCCAAAATAATGCACATATACACCCATGCAGAACTTTGCATGTAATTTCAGGAGATTCACAGACACCCAATGAGATATCACTTATACCCATCAGAGTGGCAGAAATGAAAAAGGTGAACAGTATAAAGTGTTGGCAAGGATGTAGGGAATTTAGCACACTTGTATACCACGGTGTGCGTGTAAATGGTACAGTCACTTAAAAAAAATAATGTTATTTTCTGGTCAGGTTAAAGAAGGCACACGTGTCTTGTGGCCGAATTATTCTACTCCTGGGTGCATACCTAGAGTACGGCATATGCATGTAACGAGGGAGAAAAACAGCAGTAAAATGAGTAAAAGCTCCTGCCACAGCATGGACAGCTGTCAGGAGCATCACATAGAAGAACAAAAGATAAGTTGCTGAAGAAACCGTCTATGTACTGTTCAAACCCTTGCAAAGCTGTCGTCCAGGGCCGAGCTTGCCAGCTTGGTGGTGCTGCACACGCTGAGGCTCTGCAGAGGCTCAGATGCTGACCCTTACCCTCCAGGTCAGCCGGGCCCAGACTGCTGGCATCTTCTGGGTGTCCTCAGGGCTCCCTGGGAGGGAGCCCAAGGAGGGTGGGGTCTGGCGTCCTTGGCAGGGGGTAGGCAGGAGTCACGCCTGCGGCCTGATGCTCTCCTGCCTGGAGGGCAGCCACCGCCTGGACAGCTGCTGTGTAGCATGGCCTCGGGGCCGGCCTGACAGGCCACTGATGAGCACAGCTCCAGGAGCATACATAGGATACTCTTGAATGCTGGTAAAAATATGATTTAAAACTTGGTACCTAAAATGCAAAGTTTCTCATTTTAATGGTCGTATTAGTTTGCTAAGGCTGGCTAACAAAGTGCCACAGACTGGGTGACAGAAATTTATCTTCTCAGTTCTGGAGGCTCTTCTGTCTGAGACGAGATCAAGGTGCTGACACGGTTCGTCTCCTCTGAGGCCTCTCTCCTGGACTTGGAGACGGCCGTCTTCTGTGTCCTCATGTGCTCTGTCCTCTCTGTAGATAATTTCCCATAGAGAGTGAATGTACATAAAGAAAAGAAGGTACCAGGGACTGAGCCTTGGGAAATTCCATGTCTGTGTCCTCTTTTTCTCCTCCTACAAGGACACCAGCTGTATTGGATTAAGGCCCACCTAATGACCGCCTTTTAACCTAACTACCTCGTTAAAAAACCGCATCTCCGGGGCCTCCCTGGTGGCGCAGTGGTTGAGAGTCCGCCTGCCGATGCAGGGGATACGGGTTCGTGCCCCGGGCTGGGAGGATCCCACATGCCGCGTAGCGGCGGGGCCCGTGAGCCGCGTAGCGGCTGGGCCCGTGAGCCGCGTAGCGGCTGGGCCCGTGAGCCGCGTAGCGGCTGGGCCCGTGAGCCGCGTAGCGGCTGGGCCTGTGAGCCGTGGCCGCTGAGCTTGCGCGTCCGGCAACGGGAAAGGCCACGACAGTGAGCGGCCCACATATCGCAAAAAAAAAAAAAAAAAGACCGCATCTCCAAATCCAGTCACATTCTGAGGTGCTAGGAGTTAGGGCTCTAACATACAAATCGGCAGGTGGAGGTGGCACAGTTTCACCCGTAGCAGTGATAAACAGGTTGTTGTTAAAATTATTTTGATGCAGTCATTTCAAGCAGAGAACTTGATTATTTTTAAAAAGACTATGAACTTAAATACAAGTTTCTCACTAAAAATTTTGAAAAGATTTTATTTGAGCATTTTGTACTAATATAAACTTTGCCCTACTGTTATATGTTTTATTACCATGATTTCATACTGTAAATGAGAAATCTCCCCCAAATCTACTCCATTTTACCCAGTATACCATACAAGTGCTATCATTTCTTTGAGTGCCCTGTCATGGAAAGGTTGGTAAGCACCATGTAGAGATAAAAACAGAAGTAATGAAACTATAGAAAATTAATCACTAAATTCAGGCTAATGATCACCTCTGAGGAGGGAGGGGACACAAGGGGACTCGTAAAATGATGATGATATTCTTTAATGAAGCTGTGTGCACATAGGTGTTTATCAGTATTCTTCATGTTATTGTGTATTTCATAAATATTTTTGTACCTATTCAGTATTTAATAAAGTCAGATAAAAAGAAAACCAGGGGGCTTCCCTGGTGGCGCAATGGTTGAGAGTCTGCCTGCCGATGCAGGGGACACGGGTTCATGCCCCGGTCTGGGAAGATCCCACATGCCGCGGAGCGGCTAGGCCCGTGAGCCATGGCCGCTGAGCCTGCGCGTCTGGAGCCTGTGCTCCGCAATGGGAGAGGCCACAGCAGTGAGAGGCCCGCGTACCGCAAAAAAAAAAAAGAAAAGAAAACCTGGGCTTCCCTGGTGGCACAGTGGTTAAGAATCCGCCTGCCAATGCAGGGGACACGGGTTCGAGCCCTGGTCTGGGACTAAGATCCCACATGCCGCAGGGCAACTAAGCTCGTGCGCCACAACTACTGAGCCTGCACTCTAGAGCCCACAAGCCACAGCTACTGAAGCCCGCACGCCTAGAGCCCATGCTCCGCAACAAGAGAAGCCACCGCAATGAGAAGCCTGCACACTGCGACGAAGAGTAGCCCCCGCTTGCCGCAACTAGAGTAAGCCCGTGCACAGCAACGAAGACCCAATGCAGCCAAAAATAAATAAATTTATAAAAAAAAAAAAGAAAATCTCCTGCTTTATAAGTTCCTTATGACAGTTTGATCTTTTCTCATTCATTATGCTACTTGAAAAGACAGATTGTCTTTCTGGTTAATTTTATATATCTGCAACGCTATTCCAGAAGCTTGAGCACCTGAAAAAAAATTTTATGATAGTAGCAATACTGGTATTTAATAATGCGTCTGAATGGTGATAATAGGAGAAGCAGACACTTAAGTGTGTCAAAATGAATAACTGGAGCGTGCTTGGCCTGTAACTCTGAGCTATGCTAGAACTCAATTTCCTGTGATTGAAAGATAAGTACAGCTTCCTCAGTCACCAGTGGATGCTTCAGTTCCCTGAGCCTTGGTAATTTCTGAAACATACCAAGCATCTGGGCCTAAGTCATAAATTAGGGATTTAACGTCTTATTCCAAAAACTGCTTAATAAATAAATCTCCATTTCCTTTGTGATCCTTTGTACTCGTGGGAAGTTAGTAAATAACGTAATCTGTTTTCCCATCAACAAGGTAAGGATAACTGTATCCATTTCATCTCAGTTATGATAGTGATGAATGAAAAAATTATAAAGTGCTCTGAGCTGATTGGGAGGGCGCTGGTGCCCCCTGGTGGGCAATAGCAGGTACAGACACTGGTGCCTGGTGACAGGTACCGAGTGGACACCAGGTAGGGTTACTCTCAGCCATAGGTGTACTGACAACACAGCCTTTCCACTAAAGGAAATAAAAAAGCCATCATTAAACATAGCTTGTCTTCAAAGCATTTCCAGTATTTCCAACCGGTAGACAGTTTCTTTGCTGAGGTGGCTGTGAATTTAGGGGTGAGTACTGACTCACAGGGTTATTTTGCTCCATTGTGAGTAATGCCCCTTTGTGCGTTTTTTGGGCATTGTTTTTTTAGGCCTGGATGAATGAAAAGTTTGCCCCTGAGCTGCTGGAAAACAAGTCGGAAATCGTAGAATGTGTCATGGAGCAGCTGCAGCACATGGTAAGGGGTGCCTCCCTCAGCGTTCAAAGGAGGGCAGCTTAGAAGGTGTGTCGGCATAGTGAGAGGCCATAGGCTGATAGCAAATCTGTTTCGTTGGGCCCAGCCTAGTTTGGGTTTTTTTTTCTTTTTTAATGTTGAATTAATTACCTACATTTACAAAGCCTGGGAGCTCCTATGAACATCTGGATGTCAGCTTCTAAAAACCTGTCCTCAGCATTCCT